GAACCGATATTCCCAATTACAGTACCAAAATCCCCATTTGAACGTATTCACATAGATATTATGGGACCGTTACCTTTAACAATAGAGGGATATAAATATATTTTTACGGTCGTCGATGCTTTTTCTAAATGGCTAGTAGCAGTGCCAATGGAAAATCAAACAGCTATAACAGTGGCACAAGCATTTTCTAATAATTTTATAACGAAATTTGGTTGTCCAAGGTCAGTCGTGTCGGACAATGGGAGACAATTCATAAGTAATATCTTTCAAGACTTAGCCAAATTATACGGATTCAAGCATAGAAAGACAACTACTTATCACCCTCAGTCCAACGGAATGGCAGAGAGGTTAAATAGAGTGATAGCCGACATGTTGTTCAATTATGTAAATATAAAAGGGGATAATTGGGGTCATTTTTTACAAAGCGTAGTATTTGCGTATAACACAAGTGTTCAGGCAAGCACAAAACAATCCCCGTATTTTATTTTGTTTTTTAGGGACCCAATAATGCCCATAGATTTAAGACTTAGTAATTGGGAAGGTAATACGCGAGAAGAAGATATGTCAGATTACCTAGAAGAAAACGTAAAAGGATTAAAACAAATCTGGGATTCGGTAAAACTATCTATTGAAAAAGCACAGAAAACACAAAAAGATAACGCAGATAGGGATAGGAAAGAACATAATTTTAAAATTCATGATTTGGTATTAGTGAAAATTGAACATTTACCTGGTGATCAAGCGCATAAATTTAGACCAAAATGGAGCGGCCCTTATAGAATTATAGAAATTAATACCCCTGTTTTAACAATTAGGGAAATAAATACAGATAAAATAACAAAAATACACATGGATAAAGCAAAGAGGCTTATACAAAATTATTTAACACCACTTAGAGATATATAAAATAAAAATAAAGGGAAAAATAATAAATAAAAACATAATCAAAATAATCAATTTAAAATTAAAGGAAAAATAAATTAAAATTTTTTAATAAATAATTTTTAGAAAAACACAACAACATACGTAAGTTTATATTAATGGAAGTTAAAATAAATAGAAAAAGAAAATTTGGGGAAGAAAAATTAATTGAAAATATAGAAATTGTCCGACCAATACTCATTGACTATTATTTTACAAAATGCATTATTTCAAATATTTTCGAATGTAATTACATAACTCCCCTCCACGTGGAAAATGCAAATTTAGTTTATGAAATTTTCGAGCCAACTAATATGTGGGAGGGGAACCAAACTCTAGAAATAGTGGGCAGGGCGGAGGCCGATATTTTTGATGGGGATAATGTGGCTAAAATAACATTTAGAATTGTAAGTGGAAAAATGAAAACGGGACAATGTTTTTCAGAAATTATTTTAGGAAGAGAAGCCATTCTAATGTGGGAAAATAAAGGGTTCCGACCATTAGAACAAGCATTCAAATGTATCAAATGCGGCCAGCCCGAAATCGGCCCCCAATAAAAAAATATATTAAATAAAAATAAAATAATTTAAAATGTCTTTTAGTAATAATTATAAAGGAAAATTCTATTTTTTTATTTTTTTGACAGGTAATGGAAGGACACCCGTTCCCAAAAGTTGAGTATAAAGGTAAACAGGTAATCCCTTTTTATGGTAGAAACCATCCCTTTAGTAATTTTTTCCCGTCACCCGTTAATGTTTGGGGAATTCAGTTCACATGTAGTGAACAGGCATACGCATTTTCGAAAGCTTGGTTTTTTGGGGATGAAATGAGTAAAAGGAAAATAATGTTAGAAATTCACCCCCATGATATTAAGAAATGTAGCAGAACTATTAAAAATTTTAAAAGAAAAGAATGGGATGAGGTGAGTGAAGGGATGCTTTTTGAAGTGGTAAATGCCAAATTTCACCAAAATAAAATTTTGGCACAATACCTTCTTGAAACAAATAATATGCAATTGATTGAAGTAAATCCTTTTGATACACGATGGGGAGTGGGTATAACAATTGACCAACTTAAAGTGGGAAAACCTTTACGCGGGGAAAATAAAATGGGACATATACTCGAAAAAGTTCGAGAAAATTTAAAGGGAAATAAAAATAAAATACCATACATAAACCATAAAATACCAATCCCGAAATTACCTGTCAATAAAGTAATTAATACTACCCCAAAAATATTTTTTAGATAAATATGAAAATTAAAAATATCAGTAAAAAAAATAATAAAATAAAATAAAAAATTGAAAAAATAAAAAAATACTACAAAAATTTTAGAATTAGGAAATAAAAATATAAAAACACAAAAAAACATTAAGATAAAATAAAATACAAAAATAATTAAATAATTTTTCTTAATAAAATAAATATTTTTAACTCTTTATGTTATTATTCGTATGTGGTTTGTTGAAAAAAATAATAATAAACAAAAAATTGAAAAAGAGAAAAACCAAAAATAATATTTTTGTCTAAAATTTTTATTTACACGCTTCTGTAACAGAGACAATTTTTTTAATTTTTTTTATATTTTAGTCCGCTTTTTTCCGACTTCCGTTTTATAAAAAATTCAAATACAAAATTATCCATATTTGTTTTGTGTATGTGATTTTGAAGTTATATATTTGTAGTTTGTTTAAATTGTAATATTTAAAATTAGTTTAGACAAATTTAAATTTTTAGCGACGCAGGCGAAATTTTCATTAAAAATTCTGTTTCAAAAAATCTAGATTCGATGCTTTCAAAAAATGTTAATATAATAGCTTAGCGACGCATTTAGAAAGTGTTAAAATATTTGGATTATTTTTCGGACATCTTAGATAAATGGGGTAACAGTGACCAATTCTTGATTATATTCTGAATAAATTTTAATTAGAAACTAAAACAAGACGGCGTAGATCTAAGACCCACCACCAAAAACGGCGTAGATCTAAGACCCACCACCAAAAACGGCGTAGATCTAAGACCCACCACCAAAAACGGCGTAGATCTAAGACCCACCACCAAAAACGGCGTAGATCTAAGACCCACCACCAAAGACGGCGTAGATCTAAGACCCACCACCAGACGGCGTAGATCGAAGACCCACCACCTGTATATCCGAGCCATACCCAAGCACTGGTCACTGTTACACATACAATTAATTGAAAATAAAAGAAAATAAAAATACAAACAAAACTTTTCTTAAAACCTTATAATCAACCACGTTTGGCACATAATTAAGGTCATATCAAAGTAAATAGTAAAATAGTATTTTAAAAAAATAATTTAAATTTTCAAATGATATAACCTTAAATATGCCCATTTATTGCCTCTTATTTATATGTATAAGAAAAGTATTGTTTTGTAGTGTGTATCTAATTCGGAAAAATGGAAAAAATAATAAACAAAAACTAGACAATATACACACACGAAAAAATTTTTTGAGATTAAGTCTTACTATATAAAGTTCGAGTGCAGCAGAAAAAATCAAATTTAGTTTCAGTTCCCTCGAACTTTAAATAGTAGATTAATCGAAACGTTTAATGTCATTTTATATATACCCACCCAAATATCACAATTGTAATTTCGATAATATAAATAATAAGAAAAAAAAGATGTCAGAAGACAAGAATAAACACTAAAAACAAGACAACTACAAAATCTAATCAAATTCAAATCTGTCAGACAACAAAAACTACATCAACAAACTTGACAACTCCATTTCAAAACAACAACAACAAAAAAAAAGCAAATCAAATAAAACAAAAACCCTTTTTTTCGGAAATTAAACCAAATTAACCCAAAAATACTAATAAAGAAAATTAATTTGAAAAATTAATGAGAATTACAAAACCATTTTAGTTATATGAAAACTTTAAGAAACAGAATAATTAAAAGCGCCATATATACATATAACTAAAAAAGAGCATTTAAAATGGGAAAAAAATAAATAAATGAATAAATAAAATTTTTTTTGGGTTTAAATAGTGGAAAAATTACTCAAAGTTCAAAATACCGAAAAGTCAAAACATCAAAATGTCAACACATCAAAAATTTTAAATTTAATGGAAAGTTGAGGACAACTTAAATTTCAGGAGGGATGGATGTAATACATCACTCTCGACTGGAAAAGAAACTCCTCCCACTTTGAGAAAGATATAAAGCTTTATATTCTCTTTTTAGTGGTTCCTTTTTTTTCCCCCTATTGTTCTTTTTGGCTTTTGCTGGCGGAACCACGCTCGCCAACATTATATTTAATTTTCGGAAATAAAATTTAATTGGAAATGTTTTTCTTATTTGTTTATTCATAAAGTCCCCAGTGCTAACCCTTACAAGTTAATTTTTCCAAAAATTCTTTTTAGTTAAAAATGTCGATTCTCAAAAACAATCAGAAGTTGAAGGGTTTGGATTAAAACGTGTTCATTGGAGAAATATGGGGAATTCTGATGAAAGTAGCAATGAGGGATCTGATGATGAAGGTTTTGGAAATAAATCTAAACGGGCAAAGTTTGTTTAAAAAATAAAAAATTTTTTTTTTGAGTTTTGAAATTAAAAATTTGCTTAAATTCTTTAACAATAAATTGGTTAATTCGTGGTTTCGTAACCCCTCCTTTTTCCTTCCTCAGAGTATTAAAAAATAGCAGTCAGTCTTAGTTTATAGAACTCGTCAAGCTGTATCAATGACACCAAAATCAACCCCCAGTCTTAACTTTGGCCCGAACTACAGACCTCCGAAATTTGAAAAACAATAGGGGGACCAAGCTCATTTTTGGGCTAAAAATTTGATTAAACAAATAATAGCTCATTAGAAGTTTTCCAAGAATTATTAGTGAAATAACAAAACAAATATTTTTTTATATTTTATTCACATCCAAGCCTGAACTTTTTTTAAATTTTTTTCTAAACTCTCCTCAAAATCGATTTAATTTAATTTCCATTTGGCCAGTTTTTTCCAATAAAACTATGTTTAAAAAACTCCAATTTCAATAAAATTAATTTTAAAGAAAAGAATCTTTGGCTGAATTAGTTGCCCATGACCGCCAAATGCGTGCATTAAAGTCCATGTTAAAAGACGAACAAGAAGAAAAGACTGAACGTTTGGATATTTGTTTTAAAGAAATTAAACAATTTGGAGGCTTAAATCAAATTGGTAGACAATCTAAAAGGGAGGACGAGGAAGAATTGGAGGATAATTATGATTACTTGGTAAGGAATTTTTTATTTAATTTTTTGGGAGGGAGAAATTTTTTTTATTTTTTGGAAGGGATGAAAATTAATTTTTGAAATTTTTTAAAAATATTTAGACAAATATAAAATAATATTTTTTATTTTTCTCAATAAATTTTTAAATTAAATTAAAAAAAAATTTTTTTTAGTATCATCAACTTCAATTTCAACCAACAATCGCTGCTCAACCAAATAATCTTTTAATTGAAAATAAATTGAACAAAACAATTGATCAACAAAAGTATTTTTTTTTGTTTATTTAAAAAATAATCTTGTAAATTAAATTAAAAAAAATTTCCCCTCCTCCGATAATTATTTTTGCTCGGGGTTTTCACTTGTAGGTGAGTGAATGTTGGGTATTCCTTTTTTACAGAATTTAAAAGAACGGGGGAATTGATTTCTTCAACTATTCAGCCATTCATTTAATTTTTGGGTTAATTTGCCTGCAATTTTTTTTAAATTTTTTTAAGAAAAGAAAAGAAAAATTTGGAAAATTCTGAACAATTAGAAAAAGAAGAAAAAGCTAAAAAAGCTGTTCAATCAAAAATTTCCAAAGAAAGGGAAAAGAAATGGGCAAAAAGAGTAAAAGATGAAAGAAGGAATACAATTAAATATTTAAGGAAAGAAGCTAAAAATTCTGCAAAGTAAAAAAGAATTTTTGGCGGTAGTCTAGTTTATGCGTCCAATAAAAAGAAAATTGGATTTTTCTCAGTGTTGCAATGTTGAGGTATGGTTCCAAAACAGATCTTCGTGTTCGGGACCTGCGCCCATTGGGTCTGGGACCATTACTCTATTCCTCGAAATTTTTGAAAGTTATATCCAATTTTTAAAAATTTCAGAAAAACGATTTTAACTTTCCGAAATTTTGAGGGATAGTGTAAGGAATGGTCCCAGACTCAGTGGGCGTAGGCCCCGAACATGAAGAAAGGTTTTGGAACCTCAACATTGCAACACCAAGAAAAATCCAATTTTACCTCGAATGGATGCATAAACTAGATCAGCGCTGATTTTTTTTAAATTTTAAATTAATTTTAATTTTTAAAGACTTTTTATCGAGAAAAGAAGGCAATTAAGAAAAGAAAGAGATGAAAAAACTAAAAAGATTTTACAATCTTTAGAAGTACAGGAATCGGAATATAAAAAATTACAAGCAGTCGGTGGAAAAATTTGAAAAAAATTTTTTTAATTAAAAATAATTGTTAAATATTTATTTTTTGTTAAATGTTTCCTCTCAATTAGAACTATATTTTGAGGAAAAATTTCAAATTTTATTATGATGAAGATGTTTAATGCTTAAATTTTAATTTGCTTATTTTCCTTTAATCCTTAAATTAGGATCAACCGAGAAGATGAAGACCTTGGAGGTCAAATTACCCAAAAGTTGAAATACAAATTAGGTATGACTATCTGGGTCTCGACCTTCTGGGGTGGACCCCCTTAAATGAATGTTAAAAATGTCATATAGGGTGATAAAAGGTTTGATCAGAATTTTAGCAGAAACATGGACCTATTTGGTCAAGAATTGAACGTGGTCTTCGGATTTTTTAAAACTTGGTCTTAAAAACACCAATTGGAACCGATTTTTCAATTCTTCTGACCTATAAAATAGCTACACTATTTTTTGCCTCGTACTTTGTCACATTTTTGCTCATACATCGTACAAAATGCTATTGTGTTAATTGTACGAATTTTGTTAAACGTGTGTGAAATTTGGTAAAATTTGGTCGTTTCTTCACTATTGATTTAATCAAGACGTAGCCATTTACCGAAAAAGTTTTAAAATTTTCAAAACAGGATTTTTTACTAACTTAACAAATCAACTATTCTGTTGTATGCTTGTACAACAATAAAGAAGCAATACAATAATGTGTTTATTACACAATAGAAATACAAAATAGTTAATGAAATAGAATAAGGTTGGGGTATTTAGGATAAGCAATTAGGAGATACGGACTGACAATTATGGGAGGCTTTTATAGTAACACCACCATAACATATTCAATATCAGTATATTCAATATCACTGATTCAGCCTCGAAGTCGTTCTAACATTTCTGATTCTTAACCGATTTAAATAATCAGTATCTAGTGAAAGCAATCCTATTAGCTAAAATAATCGCATCCAGAGCTTCAGAATAATTATTTATATCGTTTGAAATATGGCTTAAAATATAGTCTTGTGCCCAAAAGCCCTTTCGGGTGGACACACAATTTGTACGGCCTCCGGCTATGGGAGGGACGGACGCTTATAAAGGGAGGACAGAGAACTCAAAAGTTCTCTTAAACTTATAAGCGATGATGACGACGACAGCCTACCCAAAATCCCCAAAAATACACACACCAAAGAAGAAAAGATTTATTTAATTAACAAATAAATTTAGCGGTCCGATAACAGCTCGGGATCCGCGGTGTGAATAAATTGGTGATTAAAATATGTGGTGAAAATGCGAACAAATAATTTAAGTTAGTGCTCCGCTCTCCTGCTCCCAGTTGAAGGGAGAAAAGTTGGTTTAATTGATTGGGTTTAAAGGAATTAGAAAATTATAAGATTTTGAGAGAAGTTGGAAATTGAAAGAAGGATTGAAAGAAGTGATTTTAGGGACAGCCGAGCGCTAACTTGACAGCCAAAGGTAGGCGTGGTTAAAAACAAAATAAATTGCGGGCGGTAAAATTAAATAGGTGAGAGAAATGGAAAAAATAGTGGAGGGCTTATGCCCTTTTGGGCACACTCCCCCCGGCAAAACAAGAAATGTTTATCGAGAACGACGTGAGTGTCCAAATGCAATATGAATCGATTTCATCAGTCTCTTCGCGGCCCCATCAATAGCAAGTAAGTCATGTTCCTCTTCATTCGTCAACTTGGCTCGACCAGATTCCATAGAATGAATTGCATCAGAAATCTGACCGCAAAGTTGACCCGTGGTAGTTCGGACCTTTCGCAGAGTTTCTGTATGTTGATCAGAAACTCCCCAATGTGAACGCCCAGAACCTGAACGGGAATAACGGTCATTAGACTCAACGCGATCTCCCCGATCTTGCTCACCTAAAGTCTTTTCTCTTTCTCCACTGTTAGAACGCCCAGATGAAGAAGAACATTTCCACTTTGATTCAGCGGGAGTGGCCACCGCAAATTTATTGACCGCTTCCTTATGAGTGGCGGTCTTTTCACAAACTCCCCCCATGGCTGCTGGCGCGTTGACTACTGTTTGTTGAGCAGTCAGTTTCTGCGCAAAGGAAAAGAACGCTTCAACGAGGCTTTGATTTTTCTGGTTTTGCCTCTCTTGTTTTAAACGCTCTTTTTCCAACTTAGCCTTCAGATCTGGCATTAAAATGTTCCCTTTATTACTCTCCCCCAATTCAATTTTTCCCTCACCTACAGAAACAACCAATGAGTTTTGTTTAGTTGCTGCTGCGGGCGATTCTTTCTTTTCTTGTTGTTTCTCGACAATTTGTTTTCCATTTTGAGTAGCAGAATTAATTTGATTAATTTCTTTATTTTTAATAATTTCCGATGTTGCTTTCAATAAAGTACTGGTGGTGGAATTAAAACTTTCGTTGTCCAACTCTTCTGGTGCCACCGCAATAGCTGGTTTATTTCCAATTTCTAGAAGTTGCTCAACATTAATTTCTTTTAAATGTTGTTCCATTTCTTGCTGCTGCGCAGCCGAAGTTGGTGGACCGAAAACCTCTAAATAAAGATTCTCCTTTGCCTTTTTATTAGCTTTACTGTTGCTGTTGTCAGTAGAATTTTTTTTCATTTCTATAGGCAAGAAAGAATTAAAAGGAGAGAGAGAAATATCGGGTGAGTTAAAGCAACAAGCGAAATTTCCATTAATAAAAACGGTAAAAACCGCAATAGCAAATAAAATTGAAAGCGCGCGAATCGGGGGTCCTCCTCGCGGAAAGCTAATTTTAAGCTCATTGTTTTCCTTTTCTTTTGCGTGTTCCTCCTCAGTTGATGGGCCTTCTCCTGGTGGTAATTCTGGTGGCGGTGAGCTTGGCGGGGTGAAACCCGTGGCCGCATTTCCTCCAAAACTTGGATCCGGTTCAGTCGGATCGTAAATGATTTGCTCCAATGGAAAGAAGCTCTTGTGGGACTCTCCCACCTTCCAACACTGGTGTCCAACAACTCTAGCATGTCTTCGGCTCTTTCTTGACGAGCCACGGATTCCCCCCTTAATGATAATGCAGGGGAGGTCCGGGTGTGTCAAGGCCCTTCCTTTATTTCGAAAAAATTGAGCCACGGTTAAATTTGGCTCAACAAGCTCCTCCCTGGCTGCCCGGCTTAAACATGGTTCCTCATCAGGCAAAGGAATTCCATGGCATCTGAGGTTTTCCCAGAAAAACGTAAGCAGGCCTTCTCCCCTACGGCGTGCTTCATTTCCACACAAGGAGTCGAAAAAAACCAATCCCAACTCTTTCGGAATATAATCAGCCATACTCTGACCTTTCTCCGGAGGAGTGGGAGTATATCCAACAGCAAGGCAAGCTTGCAAATATTCATCCTTAGATTCCCCTGGTTTGCGAGGAGGAACAGCAAAGAAATCGCCTAGCGGCATTATCGCAGTATAAATTATTTTAAATTTATTTATATTATTTAAAAATATTTTTGTTGAAATGAGAATGAAAAAACATTCTCTGGGGGAAGTGGATAAACAACTTAAGTTGGGCGGAGTTGTGAACATTGGCCCAAACTCTTCTTTTTTGTACGCTTTGCTTTTAAAGCAGTGAGCGCTCTTTTTTCTACCCAGATGTGGATTGACTATTTTTGTGCCTTCTTTTGTAAAAGGAGAGAAAAAATTTATTTTTCCTTTCTTTGACAAAAGTTTAGAGATGGAAATGTGTTGATGGCTTTTGGCGGTGTGCAAAACTAAGTTAAGTGTTTTTGCACATTCTTTTGTATAAAAAAATAAATTTTTTCTTATAAACAAAAGACGAAAAGAGCCAAAAGTTAGTTGAATCAAAGAATGACTCAAAAATTTATTTTTAATGAATGGGTGAGTGGCAAACAATTTAAGTTGGCTTGCCATCTGTTTGGCTTGCTCGTGCCCATCCAAAATTTTCTCTTTTTGTTCTGAGAGTGGGTAGGTCGTGATTTCTGAATAAATATGAGTGGATGGGGGTGAATGGCTATGATTGCCAAAAACTAATAATGGGCGCCAAGCCCCTTCCCCCTCGACGACAAAATTGTTTATTATTAAACTTGTGATGAGCAGAGAGCTCATTTTTCTCCAAACTGCGAATTTAAAACGCAGAATACTATA